TGGACAGTGCCCGTCGCATGCTGCCCTGAAACATCAGGATTGTAGCCAGCGTCCAGTAGGTAGACACCGTGGCCAGGGGGCACTCGAACGCGAAGGAAAACTTTTTCGTGATGTGGTTCAGGAGGTTGTAGTATGAACTGCAAAAGTATCGCACTCGTATAAATGCATTACCTCAGCATGAGAAATAAAATTTGCAATGCTGATTTACCTTGAGAAAAAGATTTGTAAATGCATGACTGCGATACGAGTACGATACTTTTGAACTGGATATGTAGACCTGCATCTTCGCCTGCTCGATCTCGTTGCTGAAAATCAGCGTATGGGAGTGCCAGAACCGAAATTGACCAAAGTCGAGAAATTTGTAATGCACAAAATGTAGGGCACGAAAGGCCTGTGTTGGGGAGCAGGCTAATGAGATGACCGGTTGCAAGCCTGCTTGGGGAAAGACGATGTGCTGGCAAAGTAGCATGACAGACAAATCTTCTTTGCCCGAACAGCATGACGGTCGACTGGATTTTGGCGCTCCCCGGAAACTTTCTCATGCTCCCCTTGGAAACTGAGGCGCCAACTGGTATCGATTTTATGCATCACAAATTATTTCGATCATTTTGTTGATTTCGATCCTGAGGACGCTTCCATAAAGTGCCCGCGCCCGATACAGCTCTTCCCCGTACAGCTCCCAATCGAAGCCCGAGGCGATGGACGGATATCAAATGCAAAAGTGTCTGGGTCTGGAAGGATGCAAGGTTTGTCATGCACACTTTGCATGACTCCTGAAGTCTGTGACGCATGCTCTAGCATCACAGATTTTGTGAGGGCTTCCTCATGCCTATACCGCATGAGAGATGCCCTCTCGCCGTGGCGAAAACTGGGCTTCTTTTGCTGTTCACGCAATACAGATTTTTGTAGAATCCAAATTCAGCATCACAAGTTGCATCCTTCCAGACCCAGACACTTTTGCATTTGATAACGGACATTCTTCCTTGATTTCGATCCCGTGGTAGTCACACACGCCGTCATATCAAAACGAAAAATCCCCTCTCCCCATGTCAAAAAGGCACGACACCTCAGGAAATTTGCCATGCTGATTTGTGACTGCAAATTGTCTCTGTCTTGCAAGAAGGCAACCCCACAGGCCCCGCAGCATTATGTGGGCCGCGGTTTGTGAAGATGCTATTGGGCCTACAGCATAGACGTTTTTCATGCTAGTAAGCACCTAGGCCAGCACCTCTCTACTACCCGGGCTTGATATGGGCCTGCAGAAGTCCTCGACTGCAAGAGAGATCCGATTTGTGTAAGCAAATCCAGCATCAGAAACTTCGTTTTGATATGGGGAAAAGGGATTTTTCATTGTAATATGTCACTTTTTTTCTCCGAGGCCGGGATCACCGAGGTGCTCAGCATCGGGGGCGGCGGCGCCCGCCCGTTATGCTCTGCAAAAGTATCATACTCGTACTAATTGCAAATATGCATGACAAATATTCTTCCCAAGGTAAAACAGCATTACAAATTGCATTTGTCGTGCTGAGCTAATTATTTCTATTTGTGATGCAATTTATACTACTGCGATACTTTTGCCATGCATACCCGTCGGAGTCGAGCAACTGCTCCTGGTTGCTGTTTTGGGCGGTTGCGGGTTGGATCAGCTGGTCCAGCCCGTCTTCAAACGCGAAAAGCACACGGGAGGCCAGG